GCTAATGATTGTGACATTTCTTCCTGTGTCTGTTAGCTGCCTGAATATCTTCTTTGGTGAAGTGCCTGTTCATATTGAAAGGGCTATCTTTAATCTAGCTGGAAAAAGGATACAAACACATAGGGCGAGATCTGGGTTCAGAGCTTCTGTGCCCCCAGGGGACGCGCCTACCCTCCCGAGAGCAAATATTGACTTTCACCACCCAGGAAGCTCCACTGAGCCGCCATCTTCCAAAGCCTTTGTTGGCCTCACACTTGGCCATGATAACCGAAAACCAAACTCATTGCCATCAAGTCGATTCCAACTCATTGCAACCCTATAGGACAGAGTAGAACTGCCACATAGGGTTTCCAAGGAGCAGCTGGTGGATTTGAACTGCTGACCTTTTGGTTAGCAGCTGAACTCTTAACTACTTTGCCATCAGGGCTCCATGGCCGTGCTAGATGACATCATGTCCTGAGGCTTAATCAGCATGGGGCCTCCAGCTGATCAGCCCCCTGCTCATTAGCCTCAGGTGTGGTCCTGCTCTCAGGAAACAGGACCTAAAGCTAAATTGTTGACTCAAGGAGCTTCCCCACTTCGCAGCCCCCAGTCAGCAAGTGCCTGGACTCTTTGAAGTAAGAACCATTTACTGACATTCTTGTCCTTGATTGAAGCTCTAAAACCACCAGGTACAAATTATCACTGATTTAATGATAGCTCTTCAAGCTAGGCATGTAGTGTTGTTAAAATTAGCTGTGGTTGAAAAATTCCTACAACAGAGGATTTAAGCGTATATGATTTCAAAAATTAACATTGAGAAATATGTTTGGTAACCGGTTCTTATCCTGGAGACTGATAGCAGTTTCTATTTAAATATTCCATTTTTACCACTCTGCATTTAGGAAAGAGAGAATCTGTCCATGGCAAGAGTTTTGCTGATTTTCAAATACTTTTCAAAACCAGGAATTTTTTTTTTCCGGTGGGGGAGGGGGAGGCAGGGTGAATATTCAAACCATAATTCATAAAATCTTGTACAAGAAGTGCTTAGAAGTAGTTGTTTTCCACTCTACTGGCATGAGCCTCCAACACTTCTACATTTTCTACGTGATCACTGCAAGTCCACCTGTTCTGTGTTTCTGCTGAGCCCCTTGATTGCAACCCTTGGTCCCCACAGTGTAGATAATGAGCATGTGATGTCAGGTCCCTCTGACAGCCAACTCTGCCAGATAACTGGCAATAGTGCATTAAGAATTCACTTTGAGTTATCATTTTTCTTTCTCTCCTTCTTTCTTAGGTTAGGTTCATTATTTTTTTGTGTAATGAACATACAATTCTCCCTGAACTACAAAAGAGTGCCTGTATCTCAACACTGGAACCTATCAACCCTTGAAAAATTATTTTCAAGGGTGGGTGATAGGATGGTTTTATGCTTGAAATTCTGAGGATGAGCCCATTTCTGATACTTGGTTACACTGGGCATCACTTCTTGTGTGTCAAATGGGCATTACATTCATTTCTGTTTTTGTGTTTGATTCCTACTTGCAAACTTTCAAAGGCAGAGAAAAAAAACTCACATCTCTATCTCTTCTTTTTTGAAAAACAAAACCCAAAAGACTCCTGGGATTCTGCTCAGAGAACCAAAGATGTTTCCCCTCAGCTGAACTCGGCCACCATCATTGATATCCACCCTTCCTCCACCTACAGCATCCGCATGTACGCCAAGAACCGGATCGGCAAGAGCGAGCCCAGCAACGAGCTCACCATCACAGCGGACGAGGCAGGTACGCCTGGCCGGGCTCGTATCCAGCTCTAGAGGAGCCCTGGAGCTCACTGTTAGGGCTCTGAGGATTGCATGTAGAACCAGACATTGGCCACCCCAGGTGGAGACTTTGATGAGTGTTCTCCATAGTACTGTGACCTGTAAAAATCGCAAGCAGTGCTCTGCCTCCTACTTTGAAGACACTGCTCTTCAAATAGGATTTAGTTCAAGGTTCTCGTATCCCAGACTTAAAGAAAGATGTATGGGACTAACAAACCAGTAGGATTAAAAGAATCATGTTCTTTTTACAGTTCCTTTGTTTGGATGCATGAGTTCAGGT